ACTCATAAAGAATGATATTATAAGATCAAAATAAAAGTTTTAGGATGTTAAACACTCTATCTGCAGATTAATTTATTGTTTCCTTCTGGAATAAAGCTCAGGAATAAACAGATTTGGTGGTTTTTTGGCCAAAAATTTGGTTTTTACACCACTTAATTTGGCAAAACGACTCATAAAGAATTATATTATAAAATCAAACTTAAAGATTTAGGATGTTAAACACTCCATCAGCAGACTAATTTATTGTTTGAATCTGGAATAAAAGTCAGGAATAAACAGCTCTGATGGTTGTTTGGCAAAAAATGTTTTTTTTCACAAAAAAAAATGGTTTTGCCACTTAATTTGGCAAAACGACTCATAAAAAATGATATTATAAGATCAATATAAAAGATTTAGGATGTTAAACACTCCATCCGCAGATTAATTTATTGTTTCCTTCTGTTGTTTCTGGAATAACGTTTTTTTACACCACTTAATTTGGCCAAACGACAAATTTCTCCAGTTTTCATAGATCTCAAATTCATGGGCTGAAACAGAAAGTGTAAAAAAGGCTGATTTTAAAAATCCAGAGTGTCAAAAAGTGAGCGTGCTGGACACTGGTTATGTTGTCCAGGCATCTTCCTCTCCCTCCTCCATCCCAAATTGACATATTTTCTTTGGCCTTATTAAGGAATCTGGAAATGATTTGATTTCTGTCAGGAACAAGGAGAAAGGACTGGGTCTCAACCCAATTAGTGACCTCATTCTCCGAGCACATCTCGCCTTTTTTCTCATATTTCCTATTCTCCGCGCATCCCTCTGTCCTCTGGACCCTTTGCTTTTCCTTTTCTTCATCACTGGAGCTTCTTTTCTCCCTCGTCTCCCTCTTTTCTCTCCGCACAAATGAGTCCATTTCGCCCGAGGGATGAGACCACGTTGGTTAAATCAGATTGGGGCGAGGTTATATTTGGACTATAAAGGGGGGGGGGGGGCATCAAACATCTGTGAGACAGCAGCCTGGCCTATTTTACACGAGCAAATTGGCTGACAGTAAATTTTCTCAGGGCACATTTCGGCTGACAATATTAGCAAAATATTAGTGTAATAAACTCGGGAAGCTTTCCCGGTTAATTACCGTCAACAGGCATAGAGGAAATGCAACACGGAGTTGTTATGATAATAACAAACTAACTCACTAACTAACTAACGTGACTTTCAGCTAAAGTCACTGAGCAAATACTTTGTGTTGGAGCTATTTATTCTTTATTGCTTTATTCATTTGAATTTTGTTAGTTAATTCTTAAAGGTATATTTTTTGTATTATTTACAGTATTTATTTGTAGGTTAATAATTGTTGATTCTATTCAATTTCGTGTCTTTTTCTTAGTCATTCTTTGAGTTAGACAGGAAGTCATGTGGGTCAGTCCACTTTTCTAAAAGTATAGGGGCCAGGTAAAGGACCAGCAAGGCATTTGGGTTTGGGGCCTATGGTTTTTACCAGAGCAAGAGAACAGAGTAAGATTGACAGAATGAGAACAAAGGAAAGTTTGAACTCTGTAATTGTTGCTGGAAAGAACAAATAAACCTTCAAGAATACTCAACAAGTTTGGATGTTAAATTTTATTTTGCCTGCGTACAGAAACTGGACCCCAGTGCCTCTTAGTGGCTTGAGGAACTTTTATTTATGATATTTGCTTTGACAAACAATCGCCGCTACACTTTGTGTTGTTAAAATCGATGTTTTTGCATGTGAATGTGCCCCCAACTCCCAGAATTCGAATCTTTTAAAAAACATTTTATTGTGTTTATTGAATTTTCCCCAAAAATACACATAAAAGTCACATAAATGTCCCCACATTTTGAGTCATATTCAAACATGGTAGTACAAATAAACAATTGTAGAATAAATCCCACCATATAAAAGATATAAGATGAAAATAAATAATAATAATAGTAGTAACAATATCACTGCCACAATCAATGAAAATAAAAATAATAATAGTTGCCATCATTATCCTAAAAAAAAAAAAAATACCCATGGTACCTTGGTACCTTGAAATAGAAAAGACCTGCCAGCATTCGAATCTTAATGAGTAATAAAAAAACAACCCGTTAGGATATTTTCATTTGGTGGTTATCGGCAGTTTGTGGGATATTAAGATTATTCGGGAGGTTTTCCAATCAAAACTGAGTTTGAAAGCCATGAGGGAGCGTCGTAAACCACCTTTTGGGTGTTTTCCAAATTGGAAAAAATACCTTTTTTTCCTTTTTTGGGGGGGGCTATTAACCCTGTAATGCCAAATGTATCATATTTGATTCTTTTCTGAAATGTTTTGCGTCTGACTCCTTTTGCATAATTTAATGGTAAAAACTTTGCTCCAAATCCTATTGTACACAATCAGACACACCTGATAACAGGGGGCAGAAGATACACAAAAAATAATCTTGACTTATTGCATAGTAATAGATTATTAATATTAAAAATGTATTTCTGTTTTTTCTTTTTACATATTTTGTTAAAAGGCCCAAAAAGCAACAATCCTCATTCAATTCAAATGTTTTGTTCAGAATTACTAAATGAGAAGTCACCTCAAATGAGAAATTTGTGGGTTTTGTGGGTTGTCGAAGGCCTAAAATCACATTAAGAGTCAGTAAACCAACAGCACAACAAGGCTGGATCCGGAAAAACTTCAATTTAAGGGAATAAAGACCAAGCAAACCATGTAATAAACACATGAAACTGTATGAAACACCAGGAACAGACTCTAAAAGACATGAAAAACCCTAAAATCCCATTTGATGCTGTCCCAGATAGACGCCATCGTTTCTTAACTAAGAGGAAATTTAGCCGAAAACACAATAAAAAGACAGATTTTTCTTTTCTTTACTCCAGACTTTATCAAGACTTTAGTTTCAGTAAAAAACTTATCTAGTCTCAGTTTTAAAACATTGGAATTGTTGGAATTTACATGTACATTTAGATAGATAGATAGATAGATAGATAGATAGATAGATAGATAGATAGATAGATAGATAGATAGATAGATAGATAGATAGATAGATAGATAGAT